GGGCTTGGACCCACAATCAGTGCTCCTGGAAGCAGCAGTCAAAAAGAGCAGATGATGCCTTGCATTGGGTAAATGTGCTGCACTTTACCTCTTTAGAATGTTGGAAAAGCAAAGATGTTATTTTGAGGACTAAGGTGTGCCTAACTCGAGCCATAGTATTTTCTATTTCTTCATGTGCATGTGAAAGTTGGACATTGATGGGGGACGGACAACAGAAAAGTGGGTGAAGGGAAATGTCGGACAGGGCAAGATATGACAAAATAATAATTTATAAATTATCAAGGGTTCATGAAGGAGGGGTCGAGGGGAGGGAGGGGAGAAGATGAGGAGCTGATACCAGGGGTTTGAGTGGAGAGCAAATGTTTTGAGCATGATGAGGGCAATGAATGTACGGATGTGCTTTACACAGTTGATGTATGTAAGGATTGTGATGAGAGTTGTATGAGCCACTAATAAAATGATTTTTTTTTAAGTTGGACATTGAATAAGGAAGACTGAGGAAGAATTGATACATTTGAACCATGGTGCTGGTGAGGAATATTGAAAGGACCAAGAACTGCCAAATGAACCAACAGATCTATCTTGGAAGAAGTGCAACCCAAATGCTCCGTAGAGGTAAGGATGCTGAGGCTTCACATCTTACTATTCGGACAGGTTGTCCGGAGAGACCAGTCCCTGGAAAAGGACATCATGCTTGGTAGAGAGACAGTGAAAAAGAGGACAAGATGGGGTGACAGTGGCTGCAACAATGGGTTCAAACAGAACAGTTGTGAGCAAGGGGCAGGACTGGGCAGCTCTGTTGTACATGGGGCTGCTAAGAGTCAGAACCAACTCGATGGCCCTAATGAGCATGAGGATGGAGTGCTGTTGGTGTAGTAGACTAGGCATTGAGCCACTAAACGAAAAGTTCAAACCCACCAGCAGCTCCTCGGGAGGAAAATGAGGCTGTAAAAATATACAATCTGGGACACCCACAGGGGCAACTCTACTTTGTCCTATAGAGCAACTCTTAGAAGTTATCATCTGCTTGATGGCAGTGAGTTTGCTTGACTTTGATGAGCTTGCTGAAGGGGATCTGGTAGTGCCATGGGTTGAGGATACATTGGTTCAAATCCACCAGTCAATCCTCAGGAGCAAGATGAGTTTTGATTATGAGCTTGCTAAGTCTCCCTACGAGGACAAAGCTGGCACCACCACCCAGTCCATTGAATGTGCTGCCACCTGGAGCTCTGGATCTCAAACCAACAATTCCCTGATCCAGGATATGACAAAAATGTGATAATGCATCCAACCCGACACTCAGGCCAATGTCCTCAAGGCAGAGCCGTGTGTGTGCCCCTCCCCCTGCATCTTCTTCCCTGGGAGGTCACAGGCTGCTGGCTGCCCACCATGCAGGGAATGAGCTACTTGACTCACAGAGAATGCTGGAAAGAATCCTATGGTGACCTCATGGGGCCCAGCAACAGCCCACAGCTGCTGGGTGGGTAATGGCAGCCTTTCCTAAGCATGCAGAAGGAAGAGGGGCCAGCCAGCCATGCCTTGTCAGGCCAGGCTGGAGCCCCAGCTCAGACTCCATGGAGCTGCCCTGGGCAGAGAGGCCAGAGCACAGGACAGACTCCCCACCCCCAAATCCAAGGTGGTGGAAAGTGCAAGCAGCTAGGGTCAGCTACTCTGGCTCTGCTCTCCAGGTCCTGGGTTTAAGGCTCCAGAGATGGTCCTCAGCTCTGCCGTGGTCTCCTCCAGTGGGGAGTCTGTGGTGGTGGCCAGCACCTCCAGCTGTGGAGTAGATCCTAGACCCTAGCAGCTGCTTTCCCCATGGCTGCCTGCAGGGAGGTTTGGGTCTGGCACTCCGCCCTGGGTTCAATCCCACACTGCCTTGCAGTCACTTGGCCCCAGTGAGCATCGCCTTGAAGGTGGGGCCTGGACAGCTTGGCTGAGCAAGGGCAGGAGAGCCTCAGGCCAGATGGTGGGACCTCAGGCATGTTCATTGCTACTGCCTGGCCTTAGTCTCCTCATGTGTAAAGTGGAGTGAGGCTGCTTGCCACCTCTCAAGCAGGCTCCAGGCTAAACAAGGACCCTGCTGGTGAAGCACTTCCCTCAAGACGCCTGGCCTCCCCAGAGCACCCTGTGTGTGGTGTTCTCAGAGGCACACAGCCTAAGCCTGCCACAGGCCTGGCCCCCCCCATGCAAAGCCAGGCCAAGGGAAAGCATTTGTTCCAGAAGTGTCCAACGGATGGGGTGGGGTGGGGGAAGGTTGGTGGCTCACTGGGCTCACCCTGGCTTCCATTTCTCTTTGACCTTGGTATCCAGATGCTTTCTGACTTTCCTCAGCTAGGATTAAAAAAATTGTTTTCATTTAATATATAACTAAATAACACTCCCAGGGAACTCTGGTGTTACTCG